TTTGTTCAATTGTAGTTCAAACCGATGATATTTTGTGTTCTTGTGATTCGTTTGAAGGAATGATTCCTTATCGAAAGCCGGTGGTTCAAGAAATTCACAAATATCAAACTCCAAAAGATTTGATTTAAACACACAAAGATGATGTTGTGGAAAGTGGGTTTGTTCATGAAATCAAGTCTTCAAGATGCAAAAAGATGAGAAAGAAAAAGAAGAAGAAGATTAATCGGAAAAACAAACGGGTTTACTCACAAAAATCGTCAAATGTTGTGAAGTCAAAATCTGTGAAGCAAATTTGGGTTCCAAAGCAACAATCTTCAAATGTTGCGTTGAATTTGAAGTCAAAACCCAATAGTGTTGGTGGTTCTTTTGAAGATGTTCTTGTAACATTGAAGAACACGAAGAACACGAAGAACGAGTTGTACATCTCGCATAATGGGTGGTACAATGTTCAAATCGGAGATTTTCTCATTCCAACAAAAGAACCAAGATCTTCCAAATTTGATTCGTTCATTGAAAATGGATCTCGATTCGTCAAAAAGGTATCTCAAATTCTCAAATGGATTCCAAAATGTCCATGATTTTGATTCGTGTGTTGCGTTTATGATTTTCGATCGTTTTGTCTCAGATTGGATCGAATTTGTTTCAAGCCCAATTAAAGATCCAATTTATTTTCTTTCATAGATCAATCCAGATTGGATCGAAGTTGTTACTGTTCATGATCTATATTGAATTTTAATATCCATTGAAAAAGCGCAAATCCAAATCTTAATATTACTGTTTGTTGAGCCCACTTCTACAAATTCAATACTATTCATCTAAACATTTACATGAGCCCATATGTTTTCAAGTACTGTTCATTGAATTCAAGATTCACTTCGCTTATTTGTATATTCGATTTCTTTGGTCAAAAAGTTCATCTTATTTTTTTAAGACGTGCTTCGTCAGGTGCTTCATCATGAGTTGAAATCGAAAATTCCTTGCTTAGAGTCAAATTCATACTCGAATGTTTCTATTGATTGTTTGCATATACGAACGAATTGAGAGAGATTGTTAGGTCAAATTGAGTGAAAAAGTCAAAATTCGATTTTGTTCATTCGCATTCTAGTATCATTGTTTGGAAGTCAAGTTAAGGATTGTAGACTAATTTGGAATAAAACTGATGTTGAAATTGATTTCAATGGTTTTGTATTTGAATTGACTTTTATGTACAAATCAATTTGTGGTGAAGTATCGAAGTCTACAAAATTGATAATTGGTGTTGATACCCGAAAATAAGAAAGTCAAAATTGATGACTTTGAAAGTTTAATTGATTCAAAGTGATAAGTTTTAGTTGTTAATACGATATGTTGAAGTGATTCAATGAACGAAGTTGAAAATGAAGGACAATTTTGGAATTGAACAGAAAATTGATTGAGATCCAGAATCGATTTTGATTATGTTGATTGATTATTTCTTGGGTTCGTTAAACCAACTGGGAACTCGATCTCTGGAGTTAATGTGTCGAAGTCGATTGTTGATGTTGATGGTTGACGAACAGGTTTTTTGGATTGTTGGAACAGAACAGATTTTATTTTGGGTTGTGATGTCGAACAAAGTATTGAACATATTTAGCTAACTGGTTTGAGAATCGACGGTCAAAGATATGATTCGAAGCTTAACTGGTATGTGTATATGAAGAATTGATGAACCGCTATTGCTTTGATTTTGTTCTTAATTAAGGTTTGAATGTTATAGCGAAAAAAGGAGTTAGAATCGATTTGTGCTTGACAGAAAATGGACTTTGATTTTTGATTTCAAAGGAAGTTAGGAGTTGATTTCGAATCCTTACAGAGAATTTCGAATGGAGTTTTGAGAGTAGATTAGGTGTTGGGTTTGATTTGGGGATGTATGAAACTTGGGTTGTGAATGAAGAATTGACATGGGTTTGATGTGAACAGTCATATATATATATATATATATATATATATATATATATATATATATATATATATATATATATATATATTAAATCAGCGAAGGGTAATGATCATGCTTATTGAACGTAGGGTGTTTTGGGAAAGAATAAGAAATTTCTTACTAATGGTTACTATTCACTGGATGGGCTTCGTACGTTTCGTATGAATTGAGAACAAAGGGCGGAATTTTCGAAAATGGTCCCTAAGGTTTCAAATGTTTGGCAGTTTGCACCCAAATTCGAAACAAAACTGTTTTTGCTGGAAATTGAAGCATGTTCATTTTTGGTCCATGCAGTTTGTGTGAATTTACATTTTCTACCCAATTTTGCAAATGGGGGAGAATTTCGCATATTTGGTTGTTTTTGGTGCAATGGGTCCCTGAAAGTTTCAGAAAGTGACAATTTCTACCCGAATTTTGGGAAATCTTGCAACTTTCACCAAAAAAGTCAAAAAAATTCACAAATTGGAAATTTTTTGTGGCTTTTTCGTGATTGTTTTTCCGTGCAAGATTTTTGGTGATTCATTTTTGGTACACATCAAAGGGGAGTATAGTATTGTATATTCCTCGAGCGCTTCTTACCCTTAATGGGTTTTATAATCATTTTTTGATTATAAAAGGGGGAGAATGATGGGTATTCGAAGCTTCTCGGGTTTGTCGCATATTCATTTGTAGATTTGAAGTGTTGGAGATAGTGTCTAAGTCCATAACTACATTTAGTATGTACTTGACCGAACCCGACATGGTGCATTTGGGTTGCACTTCACCCAAACAATTTAAGGGTAACGTTTTGAAAATAGTATAAGTTATGATTTATTAATATATTATAAGTTCTAATATATTAATAAAAAATCATATTATTTAATTAGTGTTGATCTATAATTAATTTAGAATTAATTTAGAGATCAAAAGTATGACTAATTAAATATGGGCTCTTGTATTTATATAGTGTGAGCTAATGCTTATTTGGAATGGGCTAGGCTTGCATGGAAAGTCCATGGATACTCTATGGAGCTTTAACCCATGGATCTCATGGAAATGAAAAGACATGGGTATTAGGGTTTACATAGATGTAACCCTAATCCACCACACTATATAAAGGAGGCTTTGGTTCTTGAAATTGCACTAGTTGATGTGTGTAAACTAAGAGGGCCGATTTCAAGATGGTTGTGACTATTCTCTCAAGTTTCCAAGTTTGTGGTGATTTGTGACTTCCATTTGAGGCATCCACATTATTGGTGCTAGGCTCTCAAACTCCAAGCAATCAACAACTACTACAAGGTAAGTAATTCTACTAGCTTTATTTGATTCAAGTACCCCATGCCATGCTAGTTAGGATAAGAACCTTGGAAAAATAATTATTTGCATGTATCTTAGTCAAACATAGATCCAAGGTTTCTAGGGTTGCATGTACACCATAGGAGTGTTAGAATGCTCAAAACCCAACAGTGGTATCAGATCCTAGGCTTGTTTACTTGATACTTGATGCAAATAGCTTGAAAATCGAATTTTTTGTTCACTGCATGTATGAACTCGTCGAGTCCATGGGGGGACTCGACGAGTCCATGAAGAAATGTATGCTACTCGTTGAGTCTGTACATGCAGTCGACAAGTAGAGGCTGCAGTGTCCAGATTTTCGAATTTTGTTGTTGGAAATGGACTAGAAACATTACACTAAACTGTTTTGGTGTTATAAAACCTATTTTAGATGGTGTAATGTTTATGCTAATCTATTTACAATGGTTATTATCAAAAATTACAAGTCTTATATAAGTTATTTATGATTCTTGAAATTATTGATAATCATGTTCTTGAACTTATGAGATTAAATGATCATAGGAATTATTTGTAACCTCCTTGGTAGTTTAATTCTTGATCATTATGTGTTTTAATGGAGTTCATAACTTGTCCTCAAGTTATGGAAAACCAAAGGTCACACTTTAATTAAAAACCATTATAAGAACACATGAGTTATAAAAATGAAGAATCTCCATTTTAATTAGGGATGGCAAAAGAACCCGAACTCGACGGGAAAACCAGATTCCTGAAGATTTCGGGGCGAGTCGGGTCGCGCTTATCAGGAAACGGGATGGGTATCGGGTATTTATTTCGGGTTCGGGGTAGGGAGTGGAGTATGCATGCCCTGACCCGACCCAACCCGAAAATATATATATATATATATATATATATATATATATATATATATGTATATATATATGTATATATATATATATATATATATATATGTATATATATATGTATGTATGTATGTATGTATATATATAATTACATTTAAGCCCCTTAGAACCCTAAAATCACGTTACCAACGACTCGCTTCTATTCGCTTCCAGTTCCACCCGACAAGTCCAAAGAAAGTCGATTGCACATTCGCACTTCGCAGACTCGAATCATGTGTCGCCTCCACGGAGAGTCGATCGCAATCTCGATTCTCGAATCGTTTCCTCGCCGCTCATTGGTTTCACTCGCATCCTGTAATCGTTGCGTCGTTTGGAGATACGGAATAACAGAAATCGCATAATCGAAGTTAAAGGCTCGAAGCACATCTGTTCAACACAATCTAAATCCAGGTAAGAATAATGCTTAATTAAACTCTATCACTCTAATGATTTCGAACTCTGATGAATTTGAATATGATTGATGACAAAGAAATTGGAGTCCAACATTGCATTTATACAGAGCCTTGTTTGGTTCAAATTTCATACGGGATTCACTCTTGTTGCTATAAGGATTTGTGGAATTAGGGTTTTACAAAACACACAGTTATGGATAGTTTCATAATTATGATGATTTCAAATATGATTTAAATTGATTTTGAGCTGATTTGAACTGTACTGATGAATCTTATTGCAAATATTCAAATGCATATATTAGATTATTAGTTGACTTATTTTTTTTCAAATGAACATATAGGCACTTAAATAGAACTGTTTAAGAATCTGATTTGGGTTGATTTCTGTTTTGTAATCTGGTTAGATAGATTTTTTGAGTCTTGCTATGACATTGGTTTTTATTTTTTTCAGTAAATATGAATTCAAAAATTCAAAATCATGCTCCAACAAGTGAAAATCATGTTGCAATAGCAAGTAGTCAAGATGTGGGAGGTTCGGGTTCTAATCAACAAAATATTGATTCTGTGGATCAAGATGGGACAAATATTATTGATACATTTTTTGATGAAGATGGAGATGAAGTGGTTGGTTCGAAAAGGACAACACGTTCACCGGCATGGTTTTATTTTATAAAATTTAAATTGAACGGCGAAGTCAAAGCAAGATGTAAATATTGCTCTAAATTATTGGGTGTAGATAGCAAGAATGGCACAAAACATTTACTTCCACATTATAAACGTTGTATACATAAACCTTCTACAGATATTCGCCAATCTATCTTGGTGCAAGAAAAAAAGAAAATAGATGGTACTACAACACATGTTTCAAATTATACATTTAATGCTGATACTTCAAGGAAGGATTTGGCTAAAATGATTATTGTACATGAGTATCCGCTTTCAATTGTAGAGCATCATGGATTTAGGAAGTTTGTGGGAGGTCTTCAACCTTTGTTTAAGGTTCCTTGTCAAAACACCATCAAGGGTGATATCAAAAGTATTTATAATTATGAGAGGGATAAAACTATAAGTTTGTTAGCAAAGAACAAAAGCAAAATTGAGTTACTACCGATATGTGGACATCTAATCATAAAAAAAGGGTTTGTGGCAATCACAACACATTTTATAGATATAAATTGGAACTTGCAAAGCAGAATTATGAGATATATTATACTTATTTAACTACAATTTATACATACTTATTATTTATATGTTAATATTAACACACACGCACACACACACATACACACACACACACACACACACATATATATATATATATATATATATATATATATATATATTAACACTCTCTGATTCTCTCAATCATTTGTGGTGCAATTAAACAGGTTTATTTACGTGCCTTGTCTGCATACATCTGATGTTCTTGCCGACATACTTTATGTAATTTTGTGTGATTGGAATCTTGATAGGAAAGTGCAAACTCTTATTGTGGATAATTGCACCACAAATGATGCAATTATCATGATATTATTAGAGAAACTTCCTCTAAAATCACTAATGATGAATGGTGATTTGTTTCATATGTGTTGTTGTGCACATATTCTTAATATTATTGTCCAAGATGGCTTATCTCTCATTAAATCTGAGATTGAGAGAATCAGAGAGAGTGTTGCATTTTGGTCCGCATCACAAAAGAGGGAGCAAAATTTTGAGACAACAGCAGAACAGCTGGGAATACCATACTCAAAGAAGTTGATACTTGACTGCAAGATGCGGTGGAACTCTACATTCTTGATGTTGAGTGTTGCTATAAGCTACAAAGAGGTTTTCGATCGGGTAAAGACAAGAGACCCAAAGTATACATGTTTTCCTACAGACCAGGATTGGGAGTTGGCTAGTGAGATTTGTGAAAGATTACAGCTTTTTTATGAGGTGACTGTTATGTTCTCTGGTTCAAAGTATCCTATAGCTAATGTTTTTTTTCCTTTGTTATGTTAGATTGGGTATTCTTTGCGTGAGTGGATAAAATCTCCTATTGAGGAGATTAGGGAGATGGTTGAACAAATGGTTTCTAAGTTCAATAAGCATTGGTCTGTAATTCATGGGATAATGGGAATGGCAGCGGTTTTAGATCCACGATACAAGTTAAAGTTTGTGGAGCTACTTTTGTCTGTGCTTTATGGAGATGAAAAGGCAACGATTGAATTTCAAAATTTGGAGGGGTTTGTCAAAACTTTGTTTCAAGAATACGAGTCAAGTAATGCATCTAGAAAAAGGAAGAGTCAAGGTATTGTATTTTTCTTATTGTTTATATAATAAATAGAGCATTATCTTAAATTATTAACATTTGTATACTAAACATTAGATGTTTATGATGGTTCAGTTCCCTGTTCATCTTCAGTTGGTTCTAGTATGTCTTCCGGTCATCATGTTGGATTCAAAAAGCTCTTATCAGATATTGCTTCTATTACAAGAGATGATGATGACTCAAGAGGTATGAGTGAGTTGGATAACTACTTGAAAGAGAAATTGTTGTCTAAAGACATGGAACTTGGTTTGTTGGCGTGGTGGAAAACAAATGGGATTAAATACCCGACACTACAAAGGATAGCTAAAGATATATTAGCTATTCCCGTTTCCACTATTGCCTCAGAATCAGCTTTCAACACTAGTGGAAGATTACTAAGTCCTTATCGTAGTCGACTTCATCCAAAGACATTGGAGGCTTTAATGTGTGCTCAAAGTTGGTTGTTGAATGAAATTCGAGGTAGTATACTATTAATTATATGAATTTATGAATCTTTTTTGCATATTAATAATATTTTTGTTAAATTTCTTTTATATTTTCTTATGTACAGCAACTTGTTCTGAAGAGACCGAGGCATATTGTCATTCTGTTGAATTTGATTACGATGTGGAAGAGGTAAAACGATACTTCTAAGAATATTAATTTTATATAGTTTCCTTGATTTGATTTGATTTTGAGTTTCTTTAATATTTTGTAGGAGAACACTAAAGAAAGCAGGACAACAAGTTTGGATGATTTTGTTTGATTTTGAGTTTGTTTTAATGTTAAGTGGTAATGTATTATTGTGATGAATTAGTTTTTCATATTTTGTACTTTGGTATTTTGGTTGGTTGGTTGTTGTTACAATACTAGACTATTAGTAATTTCTATTTGGTTAAATGATTTAAGAACTTATTTGGTATTTTAAGCCTATGCAACTGTCTTAATTTATCATTTAGTATTTGTAGTTTCTCCTTCTTTTTCTGCAAAATTTCGGGTTTTGGGTCAGCTTTTCGGGTCGTTATCGGGTTTCGGGTCGGGTTCGGGGGAAGTTTCAGCCCCAACGGGGCGCCCCGATAAGAAACTCGTCGAGTATCGGGTCGGGGTCGGGTACACATTTAGAAATCGGGTTCGGTTTGGGAAACCATGCCCCGCCCCGAACCCGCCCCGTTGCCATTCCTAATTTTAATACTCAATTAACTCATAAGTTATGAGAAATATAAAGTTTTGAAAGTTTACAAAACTTGCCCTCAAGTTTTGGAACAAGTAAAGTCATATTAAAACTTTAGTTCCAATCCTTAGAATTGTAATTATTAAAATTCAACCCTTATACTTTATAATATTATAAGTTTATATATATATATATATATATATATATATATATATATATATATATATATATATATATATATAAGACAAAGTATTCTTACCATTAGTAGGCCTCATTCATGAAGCCGGTCTATAAGGGGGGGTATAAGGTTGTTGCATATAAAATCACAACTTAATGGGTGTCCATTCTCACCCACCGCTTCCTTGATCGATGGAGGGTCGTTAGCCAAAAAGGTAGGACAATGAGTATAATTCTCATTTAAGTATGATGAGTATACTAAAGTAACTAAACCCTTATTAAATTCCCAATCTTAGTTACTTTAGGAAAATGTGAATAACATGCTAATCCATGAAATTACACTTTGCACTTTGATTAAGTCGTTAGTGGAGCGTGTGTGGTTAACCGGCACACTAACCTGGACTTATCAAGGTAGGCAATGGGTGACTTAATGTTTATCATAGTATCGATGGAGCGTGTGTGGTTAACCGACACATCAATTGAGGGGTAGTACATCAAAGGTACCAAGTAATTTGCATGGTTACTTCACACCTTGTTTTGTGATCCTCAGCATCCCAGTCACAAAACTTGAAGGGCACACTCGAGATTCAAACATGCCATTGAAAAGTTCAATGAATCTCAAAGAATCTAGGAGTTTTTAAACCAATTAAAACCTAATTAAATATTTCAATTTTCATGGTGGAAATTTGTGAATCGTCATTCACCTACCTTCAAGTATCTTATAGCTTAGATTGCAACATCCCTCTTCTAAGTTATAAAATACTGTGTTGGGTCCTAGCCTTAATATTATATTTGGGTGTATTAATAAGGACTATCTTTACATCTAATCTAATCTATTCTTTCTTCTTTTCAGATGTCTTCCAATAACAATGCTTCTGGCTCAAACCCTACTAGCTTATTCTCTCTCATGAATCTTTGTAGGAGAGTTATCTTTGATGGATCCAACTTTATGGATTGGATCAGAAACATCAGGATGGTCACTCGTTATGAGGACAAAGAATATGTCCTTGATAAGGAGCTAAAGGAGATTGATGAGTCAATTGCTACTCCAGAGGAGATTGCTACATTTCAAGCACATGAAAGGGATGCTACTAAGGTAGCATGCATCATGATGGCCACTATGACAGCTGAGCTCCAAAAGTCCTATGAGGACCATTACCCTTTTGAGATGTACATGGATTTAATGGACCGCTACCAGCAAAGTGCTCGTCAAGCAAGGTATGAAATTATCTCCTCCATGATAACTACCCAAATGAAGGATGGTGAGACCATCACAACCCACATGCAGAAAATGCAAAGGTTTGTGGATCGTTTGAAGAAACTAAATGTTGACTTTCCTGAGGAGATGGAAATAGATATCATTTTGCACTCCTTACCTTCATGTTAAGATCAATTTAGAATGACATACTACATGAACAAGGAAGAAGTTACACTTAGTAAACATCAAGGGCTTTTAAAGACTGCATAAAGTAGTCTTAAAGGCAAGTTGGGTGTTCCTACTCCTCCTACTCCAACTGCGGCCAATGTCTTGGCAATCAGGCATGGCAAAGGGAAGAAGAGAAAGAACCCTTCTAAGGGTACCAAGGGTAAGACCCTTGAAGGCTCCTATTCAAGCAAAAACAAGAAAGGTTTTGTCACTCCTTCTGCTAACCCTAATGAGGCTGAATGCTTCTATTGCCATGAAAAGTCGCACTGGAAGCGAAACTGCCCAAAGTACGAGCAAAATGTGAAGGATGGGAAAGTAAAACCCAACCATACAGGTATATACACTATATTGTCTAATAACTCACCTCATTCTAAGTATTGGGTCCTTGATACAGGTTGTGGAATTCACATATGTTATGATTTGCAGGGACTAAAAAGAAGTGAGAATGTGGAGCATGGAAAGATAAACTTGATCATGGGGAACATGAAAGCTTCACCTGTCACTAAGATAGGAGTTTATTCCTTATTGCTAAATAGTGGGTTTACATTAGATTTGAATGAATGTTATTATTCGCCAGAAATGGCAAGAAATGTTATTTCCTTTCATGCATTGTATAAACAAGGTTTTACCTTTTATTTTGATAATAATAATGGTGGTATTGATGCTTTCTTTAATAATGTTCTTTATTTTAAAGCATTACCTTGTGATGGTGTGTATGAAACTGTATCTGTTGTAGATAACCTAGGAAATAATGTATTGTGTATCGACTCTTCCACTAGCTTAGATAAAGCATCTCTATGGCATTGTCGTCTTGGACATGTAAGCAAGAAATGCATAGGCCAACTCCAAAAGGATGGAGTCTTGGAGTCATTTAACCTAAAGTCGGATGATAGTTGTGAATCTTGTTTTCTTGGTAAAATGACAAAGTTACCTTTTACTGGTACTTGTGTTAGGGGTAAAGGTTTGTTGGACCTCATACACACAGATGTGTGTGGACCCTTCAGAACCGCTACAAGAGATGCTAATCGCTTCTATGTGACTTTTACTGATGATTTTAGTAGATATGGATATGTCTACTTAATCAAGCATAAGTCAGAAACCTTTGAAGATTTCAAAGAGTTTAAGCAAGAACTGGAGAATCAGTTGGGCAGGAACATTAAGATGCTTTGATCCGATCGAGATGGTGAGTATCTTAGTACTGAGTTCCTTGACTATCTTAAGGAATGTGGGATTGTCTCACAATTGACACCTCCTAGGACACCACAATTGAATGGTGTAGCTAAGAGGCGCAATCAGACCTTTTTGGACATGGTTCGTTCCATGATGAGTCGAGCTTCGCTACCAATCTCATTTTGGGGGTATGCCTTAGAGACTGCCGCCCATATCCTTAACCTAGTCCCTACAAATAAGGTTGCCAAAACAAATCATGAGATGTGGACTGGAAAAGTTCCTAATCTAGACCACATCAAGATTTGGGGTTGTGAGGTTTTCGTGAGACGCGAGACTCACGATAAGCTCGAACCTCGAAGTGAGAGGTGTATTTTTATCGGCTACCCACAGAAATCCTTTGGTTACATCTTCTACAGACCCAATGATAATATGGTCTTTTTAGCAAGAAAAGGAGTCTTTCGAGAGAGAGAATTCATAAGCCAAGGAGACAGTAGGATGCAAATTGACCTTGAGGAAATTCAAGAGTCAAGTGGTGAAGGAACCTCAACCCCTAGCCCTCAACCTGAGGAGGAAACTCCTGTTGATCCAATTAACAAGTCTGAACCTCTGAGGCGTTCCACAAGGGTTAGGAATGCACCTGAGCATTATTATGGTTTTCATATTATTGCAGAAGGTGAAACACTTATCAATGATGAGACATTGGTAAGTCTGGATGAACCTAACAACTATGCGGAAGCCATGACAGGCCTCAAGTCTGCCAAATGGAAGAGGCAATGGACAGCGAGATACAGTCCATGTATGACAATCAAGTTTGGAACTTGGTTGATAATGTAACAGGTTGTAAGACAGTTGGGTGCAAATGGATTTTCAAGAAGAAAACCGACATGGATGGTAATGTACATACTTACAAGGCACGACTGGTTGCAAAGGGTTATTCTCAAACTCCAGGAGTTGATTATGATGAGACCTTTTCACCAGCGGCCAAGACTAAGTCTATTAGGGTTCTGTTAGCCATTCCTGCATTTCATGACTATGAAATATGGCAAATGGATGTCAAAACCGCTTTCCTTAATAGAAAGTTGGCTGAAGATGTTTACATGGTTTAGCTAGAGGGTTTTGTCACTATAGAGTATCCTAATAGAGTCTGTAAGCTTGAGAAATCCATCTAAGGATTGAAACAAGCACCTCGCAGATGAAATCTTTGAAAAATGACCAAACTAAATTACAATTCAATATACCCAAAATACCCTTAGGGCAAAGTTGGTCAAAATCTGGTCAAAGTCATAAGTTAAAAAGTCAGCCGAGTTGATTCAGTTGAATACGCCCAACATAGTCAAGATCCAAGATTGGGGCTCGCATCGTGTATGCACGATGTACGCCCATATACGCCCAACGTATGCAAGCTGCATGCGTTCGTTCCGTTTAAGGGCTTATTTCATTTAATTCTTTTCGACCAAAAGCATATCTGGTCACAAAATAACATCTTCAATCATAAAGTTTTCAACTTTATGACTTTGCATGGCTAGGAAGTGCTCAATACTAAACACCCTAACTTCTTAATTCATTAAGGCATTATAACCCATGCATGGAAGGAAACTAATGACCAAGATTGCATTTTTATGACCTTAGACACTCCAAAACGTATGAAAATACAATACATTTGGTCTAGAGCATACCATACTCAAGAACATCATTGTTTGGGGACAAAAGCACATAATAATAATATTATACAAGTTAGATCTAACAAAATAAGCATTAAGATATAAACTTTATACCACTTGGAGATGGAGGAGGGTGCAAAACTTCCAGATCTAAGGTTGCTCCAAGCATCCAAGATGTTCTCCTTTCCTTCTCCTTCCTCTATGAGCACAATAACACACACTAATGGCTCAAGGATGCTCAAAAATGGATTAGGGTTAGCTAGGGTCGAATATGGAGGTGGAGGCTGAAGAATGAAGATGTATTAATGAGTTAAGGATGTTTAAATATGGTCAAAACCCTAAAGATTACGGTTTGAGTCTCTGCCACGTACACCCAACGTACCAAGCTTACGCCCAACTTACGTGATCAAGTCTGAATTTTCATCTAAATACCAAATGGGACAAAATTTGCAAATAATTCTCATGATAAGGGTCAAAATGTTAATACCTGGAATTTGAGGAGTTACAACGTGAATATAAAGATCGTTAAAATCTAAGATCGTATGTAGAAGTTACGATGTTCAGAACACAACAAATACAAATGCGTTGATATAAAGATCGTTAAATTCCGAGATCTTATGAAGAAATTACGACATTCATAACACAAGACCTAAGCGAAACATAAGACCTAAACGAAGCACAAGACCTAAGCAACCAAACAACAAAGATCGAGAACCATAAACATCAAAAAGCCCCGAACACCTCATTAATAATTGTCCCACGTTCGATGTTGTGAAAAAATCTAAAAAAATCGGTTATAAGTATTGAATGTGTATAAAAACAACAAAGACTTATTTTGCAACAAAAAAATATTAAAAACTAAATGTGTAAAAATATATTAAAGATTAAATGTGTATAAAGTGAAAAATATATTACTCTATTATATCATATATTCCGGTTTACCAAGTAGCCAACCTTAGAAATATTATATCATATATTCCGGTTTACCAAGTAGCCAACCTTAGAAATTGAATATATATACTTAAACAAGTTGAATGGGCAAATAAAAATAAAAAAATTATATAATCAAATATATAAAAATCAAAAAAATATGTTATCATTTTAATTCATTATTTTTAATTAGCTTTAGATAGGAAAAGACGCAGCTTAAACCGTATTGTTATAATTATATGTCAATTTTTGTAGTGGTGGTGAAGCTGTTGGGTGGAAATGTCATACATACCAAAAATAATTAAAGTTAAGTTGTAAGTTGTCAAAAAATAAAAAATAAATAAATAATAATAATAATTAAGCGTTGTCAAACACGTACTATTGAGTTCATAATTGTGTAATAACGAAACATATTCTCTTAAATTTTGGAAAATCAATCATTCAATCGGCAAATTCTTAGGGGAAACCAAATCCCTTATTTTCCGATGAAACAACCGGAGCAATTGAAGATTCTAAAATAACAGGGTCGCTTTCAGTCCAACGTTGAAGCCAATTCTCCTTTATCACTTTTATTCACTATCAAATACTCCCTTTTAATGACCGCTGATCAATATGCCATCCTTTTCTCTCTCTACCTTCTCTCATTCTCTCTATAATTCATCATAATCCGTTCTTTTCTTCAATCGTTTAGGTTACCTATCGCCAGGTTTAGCTTAGACAAGGTGAGACTTTAGAAAATTCGCATTTATGTCAATTTTCCGCAAAATAAGATGAATACATATGTGGGATCCTGTGTTTTGTTTCTGTGAATCGGCGTTGACGGTCAAATTCCAAGTTCTACGTTGTTATTTCCATTATTTGCTTTGATTTTGTGTTTGAACATCAAATTTCTATCGAATTTCGAATGATCGATCATGTGTTAAAGTTCGGGGTTTTTTTATTTGCCTAAACCCTAAGATATACTCAATTTCCATGTTCTTATTACCTCTGCTCTTCTTTTCTTAGCTTTTTATAGTCCATTTAGTTGGCTGATTACTGTGTTATTACAGTTTGTTTATTATGGCTTTTGATGACATTACTTTTAACTCACACTTTTGTAGAGCTCTAAACTGATCAAATTGCAATATGGGATCCTTTTGTTCCTGTTTTCGTGCCCCGGAGCGGGATGATGAAAGTGTAGACTCAGATGACTTGGAACAAGTTCAAGACTCCAGTAGTGTGGTTAATAGAACTGCACCTGCAAATTTCGCTTCCTTCCTACAGGACTTGACCAATAAGGTAAGTTTATGCAGTCTACATTCTTTAAATTGTTATTCGGGTTCAATTATATGACTAAAAGTTAACTAAATTCGTATATTTCCTTGTATATAACTCTAGTGTTCATGGTTTTTAACCTCAAATTTAGCTCCCTAGAATATCATTTTACAACAATTTTTGATTTTGATGAGAATTGTTCCATCTACCTATCTTTAGATCCTTTTAATTGCTTTATCTAACATTTTAAATATCTTGTTTTTAATGTGGTTGTGGTGAGAATTCTTGAACTAGTTATCAGAAAGTTCTTGAGTTTTATTCTTATGCCTCTTATTTGGAAATTATTTGTATCTTCCATATATAACTCACAGGGTTTATAATAAGAGCATCATGTAGATACAGTTTTTGCTTTTGATGAGAATTCTTAGACGTAATCATATCTATCTTCAAGTATTTCAAACAGATTTCGTCTGTAACTTTATATTTATGTTGCTTTGTACAATTTAAGGATTTTATTTGTTTTCTTGGAATTCATAAATCTCATTATCATATGCATTTTGAGGCCTTTTTAGCTTAGGCTCTGTATCTTTTTTTTTTCCTTCATTGAGTGTTGTTTGGATAACTGATGGTTTACAACATTTGAAAAGATTATCGGCAGGCTTGGGGAAATGGGAAGAAAAGTAAACGATGCCAAATTGTAAAACTTCATGACTTCCGTTATTAATTGTTCAAAAAAGATTAAATAAAAAAGAAACATCAATGGATAGCAAATGATTAAATCATATCCCCATTAACCCCTTTAAGTAAAAAAGAAACAAAACCTTAGTATGCATTTACACATGTTTGGATTTTGATGTATACTCACGATACGATATTTGCTTTTTTAATTGCAATTTATGACATATGATGTAGAGTGACTTAGTTTTGTCAAAAAGGATGTGTTTTGGCTTATAAATGCCAAACCCTAGGACTTTTCAAATTTAATATCAATAACGTTTACCACATGGAAAAAATAATTTTTGTTGCGATATTGCTTTTATGTGTAGTTCACAAGCGTGTAAAAGATTGACTGTTTAAACTTGCTTAATCTAGGCTGAAATTTTGTTAATCCATAGTTATTGGAAAGTTGTGTAATTGATATGATTGTAATGACTTAGATCTATAATCGATTAATATTTTTATTCAGATATGGATGTGAAAACTCATGGAAGCTGAATGATCTTTTGTTTTCATATTTTTGCGTTAGACATCATGATTGGACTCAAGAAAGGAAAATGAGCATGACATAAATCCTTCTTCTTCTTCATGAAAAAAAATTACTAAAATTTACCTTTTACGACCATAATGTGGTCAACAGTCTCTTGGTATAGTCATTAGTCAACACCTTACCTTGTGGCCACAGTGCCACACCCTAATAATACATAATACATATAGGAGGACAATAATACAAAACATGATGGCCTTGTACTTTGTTTGGCTTGCATTGGAACACCCAAAAACTCACTTTTCGATCTCTCTCTCGTTGTAAAAAAAAGGCATAACTGCCCTCCTCATCCTCATCATCAAAAATAGCCGTAGACACCTTTTATTTTGCATAGAAAAGACTTGAGAAAGAAAATCTTTGTCCTGGGCCTGAACCAAATAAATATGCAATTTTTGAATTTTGACCCTGGATTGTGTTTCTGAAAAGTGTGAAGCTGTTCTTGGGAGAAGAGGAATGGAAAGCATGCCTTGGCCTTATTATCAAGGTCCAAGCTCTTCACAACCTACAATTGCACAAAGCAGTTCATCTGGATCTAGCAGTAGTGGCACCAGTGTGTCTTTTATGAGACATCAAAAAGGATCAATTTATTCGCCAGGGGGAGTCAACCTTCAGTCAACAACAAGTGAAAAGGAATCCAAAAAAGGTACCCCTCTCATGGCTGCATCAGATAAAGTCAACACTATTTCGGTAGATGATGAGGATGTTTGCCCAATATGTCTCGAAGGTAACAAATATTTTACTTTTTTTTTTCTTTTTTCTTTTCTTGTGGGTCCCATAGGATAGAGCAGGTGTTGTTTTGTGTTTGGCATGTATGCGGTGTCAACGAGACAAGAATTGTAATTTATTGTCCCACCCAAAAAAGTGGGACATGGGTTCGCTCTCAATCTCTTGTCTATTATGCAAAAAGACAAGAATGCCCTTTGGAGGTCAAAATGTTCCCCGGGAACGTGAAAAAAGTTAATTTTTTTGTAGAATATACGAGTGAAAATCCTCGGATAATTACCAAATGCGCGCATCATTATCACTTAAGTTGCATCTATGAATGGAATGAGAGAAGCAAAACATGTCCAGTTTGTTCCAAGGTAATATTTTTTATTTATCCTTTGATTTTTAATAGTTCAATCATTTATTTTAGGATCCATATTAAATTCACATCTGAAATCTAACTTGTTTGACTATAGAAGTCCAAGTAACATTTCTTTATTTTGCTCATCACTGGCACATTAAATGAGCAAAAACAAAGGCCAATTACGAAAAAGCCCTTGTACTCTAATCATTATATCAATTTAGCCTATTTAAATATGTTTCGTAGTACCTTAAACCATTATCATTTTTGACTGTTTAAGAAAACATTTTCCTGGTTACCTGCTTCTGAAATCAGGGCAAAATACATGACACAATTTAGTTTTACCATATTATAGTTTAGTCCCTGAACTATTATTTATTCTCGATTTAGAAACTATAAAATGAGTAAAATTACAAAAATGTTCCCTGTGCTTTCTGATTTTTACCATGCTTTAAATCTTTCTTAGTTTTGTTCCTTATTTCAAGATCCCATGGACCAAAGCTGATATGAAACCTTAAAATAAGGACCATTTTTGTAATTTACTCGAATAAAAAAGAATAGTTCAGTAGCTAAATTGATAAAATGTTTAAAGAGTGTTTTGCTTTCTTGTATTTTAACCTTTTCAACCGGGAAATCGAAAATGAATGGGTTTTTTGTACAGTCAAAAGAAGTATACCCGGAATCAATAAAATGTTTTTTTAAAAAAAAAAATTAGTTTCAACTTTTTTCAAAAACCTTGTATCAGGAAAATTGTTTTCTTAAACGGTCAAAAGAAGTGTAATGTTTTAATCATTTAAAGAAAATGGTTAAGTGAGTAAATCATTAAAATGATGAAAGTACTTTGCGTTTTGTAGTTGATGGTTTTCGAGGAGATGGCTTGATGCCGATATCCCTTTTGAGTTCACCATAAATGACTTATTAATATATAAAGTCATTGCCATGAACGATGATCAAGGAAAGGAGTTGAAGATAATAAGTATTCTTGGTAACGTAGTACTTTTGCACATAAGGACGGCTTCAACACTCTTTCATGGGCAAAATGGTAAAATACAAAGATTGATACTTTTATTACTTTCTTTGATTTTATTCCAATTTTCATTAAATGGTAAAAATCGTTTTTGGTTTTACCGGTTTCTTAATTGTACATAAAAATGCGTGTTTGGATTTGTTCTTTTAATTATATATATGGGAGTTATTTTGGAGTGGCAGTAAACATGAAAATATGCAATGTTCATGGACTAGTTACCCGGTTATTTCTTACAATTGTAAAGGATAAAACCAAATACTAGGTCTTGTATTGGATTGTTGGGGTGTGAAATAAACTAAAAACAATTTAATCGTTTTGAAAAACCGTTAGCATGTTTTTCTTGTTCTTTTTGGAAAAGATTATTACGGTTGGTTTGGTTTTGCTATAGAAAAGTTGAACTATATCAATAAAACTTGTTTTTGTATAATCTAATTGTTAAAGTATTTATAAAATAGGATAATGTATTCATGTTGTTCACTGAAATTTGTAATAACTTTGACCATATTAGATGAAACGCACAAAAACTTTTGAGAATCTAAAGCCAAAAGCTTTTAAACTCTACGATCTTTTTTATTTTTTTTAACTTTTTTTTTTTTATCATTTAGTTTTAATGATATAAAAACCATGCTTGGTTTATTTCGAGTCTAATAGATAATGCAATTTTCAGTTTGTAACATGTATTTGCTCTTCATATCTACCTTATTGAAACAATGATGTCCTCATCTAGTCATCCTTACCATCGAAAATTGAAACAATGATGTCCTCATCTAGTCATCCTTTCCATCGAAAGTAGCCATGCAAGTTTGTCAGAGTCTCACATACACACTGGCCTATGTGACAAATGACAAGTTATTTAGGCCTTGCTGTTCTAATTCTTGTATCAAAACCTAATGATAAACTTGGTTGGTCTGTAGTTGATTCATTGACCTTGCTTTCATATGGTGTTACATTATTATTATTAAAAATAAATACATGGTTATTAAGATCCTGATTTTGATCTTATGATCTTAAGATGCTACAGGAGATAACTCGCTCACATCAGTATTGACTATGAGGTAAGATATGTATGTTAGGATCCTTATTATACAACACCCTATTTTGAGGATTTGTAGAGGTATACCAAGTTGTATTTATCTTTTAAAAGAGTTGGGTATATGATAATAACCCTTGGATATGTTGGTAAAATTATACAAGGGAAAGTTGTGTTGTTTGGAGAAGATTTGTTGATTTATCAATAAGTTGTTAGCCGATAGTCGATGTTTGAGATTATGAAAGTAGGGTTTATTGGAGTCAAAATGGTTAATTCTTGGTTTTGGAATACATCTATGACAATGTAAAACTCGTGAGCGAAAGATTCGCCTAAAACGAAGTCTATATGAGAAAGATATAGATGTTACAAGTTTGGGGGCTGAACTAGATTTAAGTTGGAAAGTACATTGCTCAAATGGGACAAGATGGTGCAAAACATGACTCTGTTTACCGTGTTTTGGTGTCGAAGTGTTGAACGTCTATTTAAATGAAGTGCAATGTAACACTGGGTGTATTCGGACAAAACACAAATGTGATTTGTAAAACACGGCCAATGTAATGTTGCTAAAAGCTTATTGTCACACCCCCGGTCGAGGCGGTGGAATATGTTGGGTTGTGTGGCTTAGTTCATGAATCACAAGCAAATTGAATATAAATCACAAGTTACAACCATGACATCACATCAATTATATCTCCCTTTAAGGTTCAAATACATGGTTCATACAATAATAATAACTTCATAGATTGCCTTAACAAATAGCCTGATAAAACAAAGGTTAGATAAAACTAGGTTGGCCGAAATCCATGGATGTTTCTTCTGCTAAAACCTGGTTCAATGATCTCCTGAGAATACATGTAATTTGAAAGTCAACACAAAGGTTGATGAGAGTTATAAGTTTTCTGTTAACCGTAGTAATGATACATTAAAAGTCTAAAGAGTATTCCTTTTATAGTTAAAACCATCTTTGATAAAGTGATAAATCATAAGTATATTCATACTTGAAATGTTTGTTAAAGAGATAAACCATAAGTAAGTTCATACTTAAAATGATTGATAAAGAGATAAACCATAAGTCAATCCATACTTAAAATGCTTGTTAAAGAGTTAAACCATAAGTAAATCCATACTTAAAATGTTTGATAACCGAGAAATCATGAGTAAATCAATACTCAACATGTTTCATAGACAGAGAAACCGAATATGTGGTTTCTAAAGAAGTCATGAGTAAATTCATTACTCAATTTTTTTGATAAACAAAGAAACCAAATCCGTGGTTTCTAGATAAAGAATCTGGTTAATGGCTATACTGAGTTCTCTAACCGAGCTATGTGACTAGTTATAACCCCTTACGATACTTCATTAAACGACATGGATAAACTAAAGATAATTATCACCCGCTTTGATTGATCCGTCGAGGTTGTAGCTAGCAACCGTATGTAAGGATGTCAAACCGTATAGATCTATACATATGTATCTTGCTCCGAGGATTAACGGTTATAATCAAATGTGAATACTAAGTGGATAAACTTAGGTAATGAATATTGTCTCACTATAAAGACCATTAACTATGATATACGATAAAGTTCCCTATAAAAGCCGAGTAAGTTCGATGTATCCGTAAAAGCATCTTTTACTCACTTAAATAGATGGTAAGTTTCTCAAGTGCATGGATAAATACCAAGATATGAGTGTTATAATTTATACATATATTTTCAACATATGTATAAATACATGCATGATGTAGATATAATGATACAAAATTGATAAACATTTGTTGTACATGTTTTATGACATGCATCTATCACATGAACTCATAAAAATCTTATGACATAATTTATGACATGCAAATTTGTCATGTAAAATCATAGGATTATATGGTTAAATGATAAGATACCTCTTGTAGTTGTAACATGTTTTACATCACTAAAACATATGTACGTCGTGATAAAAACTCGTGTACGATATATTATTTTGTCAAAAAATGTAAATCATAAATAGATTATAAATTTAACATGGATTTTCATATTTGATATATGATGTATTCTCCCCTGCAATAATAAAATGTTAAAAAGGGGCAGTAACACTCACATCCATAGTGTGAACAAGGCTTTTAGTTTGAAACTTGTCGTGAAAATTTCTACGTGACATTTCGTGCTCTTAAAACGAACCATCGGGTATATTTAAATTATCTAATAAAACCAAAAGGGTAGTTTTGGTATTAATTATTAAGTATAGGGTGATTTGTTAACACAAATAATTTCTAGGGATTGTTTTTGCTAAAAATCATCTTCTAAGGCAGGGTGTAACATCCAAAAATTTTCAACAAATTTAAACTTTTCAAAAACAACCCATATTCATTAATTCATAACAAAAAGGTTTTCAATTCATTTATTATCAGTGTATTTCCCAGAGCCACATCATAAATACATAAAACACGAAGAGCAGTACGATCACGCCTTCGCCTTGCCACGATCTCCTGAAGTACCTGAAACAATACACTGAAAACGGTAAGCCCGAAAGCTTAGTGAGTTACCCCTAAAACACCAACCACGTATACCATACACATAACATATCATATCATAAACAGAACAGCCATGCACTTCGGGTCTACTGTGTGACTGGTTCACTGCACCGGGCCTTCAGTCCACCTGGTCCACCCTCTGAGTCTAGCAACATACATCGAGTCTGCAGTGTGGTTGGTTCGTCCTCACTAGGCCTTCAACCTACCTGGTCCACTCTCTGAGTCTACAGTATGACTGGTCCGCCTGCGCCGGGCCTTCAGTCGGCCTGGTCCACTCTCCGAGCCTCGGCACGTCTAGTCTGCCCTCATGGGGCCTACAGCCTATCTGGACCGCTCGCTGGGCCTTCGGGATATCCAGACCACCATGGGTATGTTGGCCTACATCACAAAGCAGGACCCGCCTCAACCCAACCCCGGTCAAACAACCATGTGCACATAAACACATAATCATATAGCGATTCATCATTAATCAACCGATCTAGCAGATCACATATATAGCACACTCTAACCAGGATACCGACCTAACCGGTCACTAACATAACATCATCCTATATACCAAGATTCCGACCTTAACCAGGTCTCTAACATATACCATCCTAACTACTAGGATGCAAACATATAGCAAAGCAATAACATAACAACTACCCGGATTTCCATCCGATAAATGGCCGGCCTTGGTGCCTTAGACCCTGTCGATATAGTGAGGATAACTCACCTCGCAAAGCCGATCTGCAGAAATAAGATCACGCTGCTCCAACCTTTGACACGAACTCCACCATTGATCAATACCAAATAACCAAAACCAATAAACACCATTAATTACCAACATACACTTGGAAGTCAATCTGGTCAACCCTTGGTCCAAGTCAAAGTCCTCAGTCAAAGTCAAACTCCCTGACTGACTCTACTCGCCGAGCTCTGAAAACTCCCATATCGCGACTCAACTCGCTGAGTCGTCCCTCGACTCGCCGATTCACTGCTCAACCATAAAAGGTTAGGACTCCACGACCAGACTCGCCGAGTCCAAGAACAGACTCGCCGAGTCCAAGGCAATATTCAACAAACTCGCCAAGTTGTTCTTCCAACTCATCGAGTTCCTGCCCATCTTCATACAGCTCGCCGAGTCTACCCATGTGACTCGCCGAGTTACTATGCGACTTAAGACTGATATTAAGCCCGACTCACTGATTTATCTCCCAGACTCACCAAGTCCATACGTAACATCTTCATTCAGATGATTCCAGACCATTTCATTGCTTCCAGTACATAGATTTGGACTCCTAGGTACAGATTCACACGTAAAGTTTCCAACTTTACGTGCATGCAAGGCTCAAAAAGCTCCAATCAAGCTATAAGGAGGTTTTTGGGACAAAGATACTCTAAATCAATCCCCATGGCTGATGCTTTAAGCTTTCACAGCTCACTATTAACCTAGATCTGAAGTTGCAACTTCAGATCTAATCTCTAAACCCGAAATGGGTCCCAAACAAGCTAACATTCCCAAAACAACATCCAAGGATGGATCTAGAAGGAGAAAACTCAAGGTAACGACTTGTTACCTTAGAAATGTGCCTAAGAAGGAGTAGATTTCGGATCTACAATGATCTCCCGATGCTAGCCTCTTGATCTTCTAACTTTCTCCTCTTAATTCTTCTTCCAAGCTCAAACTTCTACAATGGAGGCTCATCTACACTAATTAGGGTTTCTGGAACTCAAATGGGCATTAAAGAGGCTGAGGGTGGCTATAATGTGCTTTATATAGGGTACAACTTCCGGGATTAGGGTTTTTCTCCTTTCAACACCAACTCGTCG